ATCTCGGTTTTGAATGGCTTGAAGACTGGATGAGATCTCGATTTAATCGATTGATGCTCTCCATGGTGTGAAATCAAGTTTCTGAAGATGTGTGAAGGAGGAGATCCGTTTGATGGCCTACACACTGGATGAGATCTCGTCTTCTCGATGACGCTCTCTGGTGTTTGAAGCATAAGTGATGAAGCAGTTCGAGGGGCACACACTTGTTCTCGGCAAAGTCCGATGAAACGCCGATCAGTTTCCAGCGTGTTCCTCTTTTGACGGAGGTGATGTGTTGCCCCGAGACGCGTTTTGTTGAGGAACCACCACGTGTCTCCTCTTTTCTCTTTTGTTGTAACACGTAAACATCACGTGTCTTGTTTAGATCAATATTGGGCCTGCTTGTAAGATGGGTCAGTGTGGAGATCTTATGTTTTAGTATATGTTGTTTGTATGTTTGTTTCCCTTAATCTGGACTTATGTATGTGTTTGGACTTTTGTCCTTTAATAATATTACTAGTGTTTAAAAAAAAATATAAACCTATGCCAAACTTTCCCATATAAAAAAAAACTTTGATTATTTATTATAGTTTATTAATTGCAAAGCGTGCATATATAATAACATCTATTTTAAGCCATTTCTAAAAAACAATATTAACATATTTCAATGATGAACATCCATTAGAACTATCATAATAAAGTTTTTTGCCAAAAAATAAAATATCAAATAAACTCCACTTGAATATATATAATCTATGAGTACTATTTTTCATATTTAAATATAAAAAAATAAAACCAACTACTAATTTTTCATTCATGTGCATGTCCAAAATATCTTTAATTCGTCTGTCCACTATGCCTATCATCCTAATACGTTACACATAGCAATGAGGTGTATTTATCGAACACGTAATAACTATGTAAATGGTTTCCATAAATATGCCTTACAATTATACTGAAATTACAATAAGGTAGAGACTCCTACCTCCTCAACTAATCAACATTTGTTATTACTTAGCAATTGAAAACAGAAACTCTCAGCAGTTCTCATGTTGGTAAAGACTACTCTTATGTAGGCACTAATGCCTTATCAAACTATGTTACATTATGACAATATACAAGAACTAAGATCTAAGCTAAAAAAAAAGATTTTCTTATATTTACCAAAACTAATCTTCACTCATGGACAATTATGTGTGGCTCTCTCACATGTTTTTAGCAAACTCAGGTTGACAATTATACAAAGAAAAGATTCACCAACAGTAAAAATGAAGAGCATATATTTCAACATTCTGTAGAATAATAGTCATTATCGCAGTGTGAATCATAACGACATGTTCATAAAACAATAAGATATACTAAAATTAAACCCCATGATGATGGTATTATAATCATGGAATCTTACTACGCCTGAGCAGATATTTCCTATTAGTATATAATGTTTTGGTCACATGCATAAAAATATATATAGTTTAAAAATAGTATTAATAATATAAATTTAAACTGAGTTAATCAAACATAAATAATAAAATATATTTTATTGGTCAAGTATTTTTAAAAGTTAAGAAAACTTGAAGTATCAAAACATCATACATTTTCAAACATCAAATCATTTGTATAACATTTTACAGTATGAAACATAGAAATATTTTAAATTTATGAACAAAAGAAAATAAAAATGGAAATATTAGGTAAAACAAATATTTTAAATAAAAAATAACTCAGAACAATTTATAAAGAAAGAAAAAGAAAATAAATAAATTTTAAACATGTAATTCAGGAGTAACACGGAAAAAGATTTAGTATTTATAAAAATTAGATTCTTTCACTGGTAGTATTATTTATTATTTTTATATTTTTTTGTAAATGGCCTTCATATTAAATTGCAAAAAGAAATAAAAGCATACTAGCGCTAGACTTCAATTGTTTTAGGACCCAAGCCCAGATATATTAGTTTAGAGTTACACATATTCAACAACTAGTAAGCCCGAGAGAGCCGAATAGAGATAGAATTGGAAGAGTAAAACGAGGGCGGAGAGATTATGCGGTGGATAGCCACAGTTGCCTTAGGAGGGATGATTGAGTAGGCCGAGATTCCCTAAACTCTGGATCTGATTTGTTATCTGTCGATGAGTAGTGTTAGGAAGAATAGAGGGAACCCCTACGGTGATTTACGTCGCGTCACAGCGTGTCTCCCAGCGCGGCGCTCTGCCACTGCTATGAGATCTTATTCAACGTCGTCGTTTAGGGAGGAGAGGGACACCTTCCAAGTTCCTTCTGATAAGTTCGGGAACTCATCTTGAATCATCTCCTTTCTTCAACATGAGTGCTACTATTGTGGGGGCGAGGAGGGGGGGTGTTTGAACCGAGTTTGGTGATAACAAGTAAATGATCGACGGAAACTCGTCGGTGGGTTATTACGAAGGTATGAACGAACAAACGGAAACGAAGAGTGATTTTATTGATTAAAGAGTGAACGTTTACAAAGAGAAAGACGGTGCTCGGGAGCTACCAGAGTGTACGGACCGACCTAAGAACAACAATGTAAGTGAAACCCTAGTTTAGTTGCCGCTTCTTCAGTCTATTTTCGGATCCCCTCTAAAGTTCACCATCTCTTCGCTTTTATAGGTTACTGTACGGAAAACCTAATGGGCCGTATCCTTTGCTCCATAGGCCTCCTAGGCGGGCCTCATCATCTCACTCGGCACGGATGATGACGTAAGTTCGCATCGACTCCCTTGTCGTGTTGCGCCCAAATACTCTCCTCGCTCGTGCGAACCGAGTAATGGGCTTAGACCTCTTATTCGACGGGCATTGAGGGTTGGACTTGATTCCATCCCCTACAGGGGGAGCACAGACTCAGAGAATCTATGCAGAATTTCAAAATCGGTGGTGAGCGAGCGAGAGCGTATCGTCGGTGTGGTTGGTCGGTGATGACTGATGAGCTTGAGTGATTTAGGTCAACATGGAGTATGGTCTTGATCCAACGATTGGTAAAGCCATTATGCGAGCTGCTCAGGAAGTAGCTCAGGGCAAACTCAATTATCATGAATGCTAATGAGGTACATCTCTCTTGCCACATCTATATATCTTCTCATTGTATAGTGCTTACGAGACAAAGCTTTTGCTCTTTAATTTTTTTCTGCAGATCATTGCTTACAGAGCAGCTGCGATTCTTGGTAAGAAAGGTGAAAAAACGGCTGAGGCTCTAAATTAAAAGTGTTCTCGGACAGTGCGTTGTTCTTCCTACAAGTCCAATAGCCATCATAGCTCTTACTGTTGCGATAAGGTTTAAGTCTGCAATTAAAACGTCCGAAATCATTATATTACCAAATCACATATCTATTGCTCAAACAACGTAAAATAAAGTGTCGGAGATTATATTTACAGTCTGTTAATTTTTTTTTTTTTTGGTAACCCAGTATCCGACCACAAAGCGTGATCGACTAGCCCACCGGGCCTAAACCCATGCCATGACAGGATTTTTAAGCGTCCACTTAAGGGCCCCTAGTTATGCTAAGTGGTCTGGGGCGCCACACCAACTCCGCATGTTAATTATGTGGTGGCCGGGGTTCGAAGACGGGTGGCGGGCACTTCAGCCGAGGTTCCATTACCACTAGACTACGAAGCCCGGTTAAAGTCTGTCTATTAAATTTTGAATTTATTAACTGGCTAGTAATCAGTAATCCATATTGTACTCAATGGAATAGTCTCGTATTTTTGTATTTTTAAAGATAACGTGTGCCGACGTGCGCCAAGTCAGAATCAACCAAGAAGTACCTGAAATTTCGCTCGCACTATCGTGACAAGTTTCCTAACCGCTCAGTGTGCACGGCACGTGATGAATTAACGACTACAACTAGTAGTACCAATGACTTCCTCAACGTTAATTTAGGTTCAACGCAATCCTTTTCGTCATAAGGAATTATCAACGACTACGCTCGTTTTTTTTTTTTTTTTTTTTTTTGATAATCCAGAGGNTTTTTTTTTTTTTTTTTTTTTTTTGATAATCCAGAGGTTCCCCACTTACGTGGATCATTCCTCTGGGCCTGATTAGGCAGCGGTCCACTTTCACCCGGGAGGGCTTTAAACCTGGACTGAGGACAAGGCCCAACACCCAGTACCGCATTGTTATGACATGGATGGGTAGTTCGCCTCCCTGTGGCGTCGAACCCGGGGGCATGACTATTGGCCTCCAAGGTTTTTACCACCAAGCTACACCATCCCGTCAAACGACTACGCTCGTTGCTTTCATTCGAAGTAAATTTCGACCTTGTTGACAATTTACAAAACAAGAAGAAATTCTTAAAAATATGACAGGCTTCAGCTTTCACTTTACAAGAAAGCCAAATTACAAAAAAAGGCAAACAATAGTTCATAATTAAGGGAACCCAGAAATTAAAGTAGCTTATAAATGTAAGCAATTTTGTTTATAATTTTAAGAGGGTAGATATATGAAAGCAATTTAATAGTTTGCATAATATAAAACGTATACATGGCCGCCTTGCCGCACGCCACCGTTGATCAGGCCACCGGCCAAGTGTTCTCTAACCATCCGATCAACAACGTCATTAATTAATTTACAAAAAAAAACAACGTCATTAATTATTCCCATCTCCATGTATTTGTCCACATGTCTAATTCTAACTTATCAAAAAGTATATATTATTAGCAAAAAAAGTATACATTTTAATTTTTCATCACATGATCTTGAATTAAAACGGATCAATAAAAGCATGAATAATATTTATTACTGTTTTTATGTATAAAATATATTTCAGAATCTTTTGGAATTATAATATTGTTCAGAATAAGAATATATACCATTATAAAAAAAAAGTTAACTAAAGTTGTCTTTTAAAATAAGATACTATATTGAAGTTTCTCAGAAACATTAGTAAAATATCATAAGTGCCTGCGTGGAAAGCACGTGGAACAAACTTCGCGCCTTCGTTAGTCAACGTACCACACCTATATAAACTTAAACACTAAACATTCATCTTCTCCACCACTTAAACGAAACAAAACGATAAGTAGTCTCCTCTACACAGAATTGAACTTATATACATACAAAAACATAAGATCAAACGCTGCCATGTCGTATTCAAGATCGAAACGATCATTGGAGATTGAGTTAATATCAGCCGAAGGACTCAAGGTAAATAGAAAACCAGTGAAGAGGAAGACATTCGGGGTGGTCAAAATAGATCAAGAGACTCAACACATTTGTGAAGTAGATGAACAGGGTGGGAGCTATCCTATTTGGAAACAAAGAATCAAGACCGAGATGGCTGTAGACGGGAGTGTAAGGTTTATCACCGTCGAGGTTTCGTATAAAACAAGCGGCGGAGCCGTGAAGATTGTTGGAGTTGCCAAGATTCCGGTGACGGATTTTATGGGAGGGTTTTCTCCTCAAGGGCATTTGAATTTTTTGAGTTATAGGCTGAGAGATGAGTATGGGGACAAAAGTGGTATCGTTAATGTTTCAATAATGGTGAAACCTGATGTTAACGAAGTTAAATATGCGTCGCCGTCGCCTTTGATGATGCCTTCGCTGGGTTATACGGCGTGTTCTTCGCAGGCTGCTGCGGCGGTGAATGGTCAAATGTACTGGAGACCAATGACATCTTCATCAATGGCTACGACTAATGGTTATGGCGGTCGTGTAGTAACAGGAGTTCCAGTTACTTGGTGGGCGTATCAACGGCCGACTTAACTCTTTTATTTTTTTTGTTACACGTTTGTCTGAACAGAAAAATTCTTCATATTTTTTGCAATGTACCATTCTTGAAATTGGGGTTCTGGGTGAAAAATAAGTTTGCTTAATCATGAAATATGATAAATTTATTTATTATAAAATAAATAAAAATGTTCCTTATATCTCTAAAGTTCTTCTATAAATATGCCATGATTTTTGTTTATTAATGAGCAATTTCCTTTCTTATGACTCATATCTTGCAATTTGAATCAACCCATAAACTAAAAAAATCAAGAATTGAGCTTTTTGTTGATCAATTAATGTCAAATTTCAACAATAGAAAAATCAAGAATTTTGAAATTTTTTTTGTTTGATATTTTTATAAGAAATAGTTAAAAAAAAATATTCAACTTTACATTTATATGTACTCATCTTTTTTTTTTTACCAAAGTTTATCTATTCTAATTTATCATTATTAGCAGTTTAGCAATCTATAATAGAGCATAATTAACGCCACTTGCCCTCTCTGCAAATTCAACATTATTATTATACATAACCAAGCAACACAATTATCTTAATGTTTTCTAACGCACTAAACACGTTTCTTTGATCAACCATATTTAGGTAAAAGTTTGTGGGCGCCTGCATTTCACATGTGCTGTCATATGAAGACAATTTCTCTCTTAGCTGTCCCAAACACTAAAAACACACGCCGCAAAACCTGAATGTTTATTATAATCTCAACTTGTAAAAACATTTGCTAAAAAAGCAATTCCAACATGTAATTATTAAGCCCTTTTACAAAAAAAAACATGTAATTATTAACATTTGTTTAATATAAAGATACACTTTCTGCATTTATACAACAAGATAATAGAGAGAGTAAACAAAGATGAACATCATCCCTGAATGAAGAAACTTTGATCATACTGCATCGTTACCGCTTTGTTCACCTGATTTGAGAATGTTGAATTTGCAGAGAGGGCAAGTGGCATTAATACGTAGCCATTTGTCTATACAAGCTTCATGGAAATGGTGTCTACACCAAAGCTCTCTCAGCTCTGTTCCATCTTCATATTCACAAAGACAAACACAACATTCCTGAAACGAGACAAAAGTATCATTTCTTTGTACCAATATAAACTTCATTAGCTTTGGGATTGGTCATAACTTACAGCTTCATCATTCGATAACACACGTTCAGTAGGAGAATCAACACCAAGTTGAGTCATTATCCCTCCATGAGTTTCCAGTATCTCACCATTCACTTTCTCTGAGTTTCTCACCGTTAGAAACTTATATTTCGGAAGCCTTTCTATCTCATCATCAGATGCACCTTCCTGAAACATCAACAACACATCAGAAGAAGCACCTTACCATATACACATGAACCGGTCTTCTGTGACTTACCCGCTCTGCCAAAGCGTACAAAATCGCGATGATGCAAGGCAAACAGCAGCACACAGCAATACCAATAAAAGAAGCAATAGCAACGCATAGGACTAGAAAGATAACATCAAACGTCAGAAACGCCACACAAAGCCTGCAGACCAGAGATTTATAAGTATATGAAACAAGAACGTAACTCATCTAACGTGCCAAAACAAAACATAAGGCTTCGTGTGTTTTGAATACACACCAGTAGAGTCGAGGTGAGCTTTGAGCGAGTTCGCCAGAACCAGAAGTGACCCAATAGAAACCGATGATCCACCACACAAATGAGAAAATTGCATTCGTTGATTCAAGACGCTTAGCAAGACTACAATGGAGAGGATACATATTGTTGGATCAAATAAAGAAGCCCATAGGCTTTTATATAGATTTGTGAATAAATATGACTTGGGCTGAATGTCATATAGCCCACATAATGTGTTATGTTTGTTCTAAAGTCCCACATCGGGCAAATGGAGAGGTTTTGAGCAATATATATATGTACTCAGGATATGAGTGTGTAAACAGCTCAGTGAGAGAGGAAGCGCTCCACGCGCGCCGCCGCCGTCCGGCCCGGCTCGGCTCGGCTCGGCGTGGGCTTGGGCTTGGGCTTGGGCTTGGGCTTGGGCTTGGGCTTTATTGGAGGGCCTTTGGCCCGATAAGAAGTTATCTTTTTGGGCCAAGTTAAGCTCAACGTTTTGCCATTTCATTTCTAAAAAACAGCATGACATTTGTGTATAAACGACGTGTAGTTCGTTTAAAAACGGCACGACATTTATCTGTTCGAAATGGT